ATATATATATATATATATATATATAGTTTGAGGTAATGACCAGGAACAAAATGTCCATTAGAAAGAGTTGCAGTAAACGTTGACTCCTTCAAACTCTGGTCAAAAAACAAACACACAAACAAAAATACACTCATGATATCATGACATTCTAACAAGCTGGAACATTTAACCATTTTTTACCTGTAAAACAATTAGCATTGTTTATGCTTGTCTGCTCAGATTTTTTTAAAAATATTTTATTTATTTACTTGTTTATTGTCAATTTCAGGCGTTCGTGGAGCTGACACGAGAAATATTCGAGCTGGTGCGGAGCGGCGACATCAAGATCCAGGATGGCTGGGAAGGCGTCAAGAGTGGATTTGTTCCCAACACGGTTCATTCTTCAGAGGAAGTGGCGAAGAGGAGCCGGCAGTGCTTCTGTTGATTTTCTGACTTTTTATAGAAACTAAGTGGACCTGAGCTTCCTGTCACTGTGGCTGCTTTCAGACCTTGAGCTGTCGGGACTGTTAATCCTTCCAGTTTACATGTAAGGTACCTGTTTATCAACCAGCTGCCTGATTACATCACAGAAGCACCGGAAGCTTCCTGACCCCTGACCTTTCAGTCTGCATGTGAGTCCCTGTAGCTGCCAGCGATTCGCCAGCTTCACTGTCGGCCTTTCCTGGTGTGTGTGGTGAAACTCCAGGAGCTGCTGTGCTGCAGTCAGAGACAGATTCAGATTCTTGTTTCGAGGTGAATTCATCCATGACTGAGCCACGTCTCCTTCATGTAACTCTTTGAGTCGTGCTCTGAAGAGGCCGCAGCCTTGTGTGAACAAGTTAGAGCCACATTTGCACCGACTGATACATGATAACAATTTAATAAAAATAAAAAACCTGGAGTAAAATGAAAGTAAAATAACTGAGTCGATGTTTGAGATAGTTCTGTGTTTGCATCTGACTGGTGGATGAGTTTGGGCCTTAATGTTTACTGGTGTTTGAAGGGAACGATTCAGTTGCTGCTCACTGTCTGCCCTCAAAACTTCATCTAAAGCAGGGTTATTCAACTAAAATTTCTCAGTTACTGAAAGCTATGAGCTCAGGGGCCGGACATCCAGCAGTTATTGTCATTAAGTTTGTTTTATGGTTTAAAATCTAGTTTTATTTAAAACAAATCCATTGATGGGCCGAACTGAGTTCATCTGTGGGCCTGATTTGGCCCCCGAGCCACCAGTTGAATAGCCCTGATCTAAAGGTTAAGAGGTGAGTGCCCGAAAACACGAATTTAAAATCTACTGTAGGCCTTCCAAAGTGTTTTATGTGAGCCAAACAACAATAACTAAAGTTTATTTACTTTAAATTTACTTTTCAGTATATATATATATATATATATATATATATATATACAGATAGATAGATAGATAGATCTTGGATTTTTGACCAATATCCGATATGCCGATATGTTAAAACTTATTTGGCCAATAACCGATACCAATACTGATATATTTTTACTGGTATATATTTTTCTAGACCTACTTACAGAGACTACATAGCTTTTTTTTTACTGTGTAATAAAAATACTAAACTATTCTGCATGGTTTTTGTTAATATGGCCTGCTACCAAATGCAGACACCAAAAAGGGGGCTGAAAATGATGCAACACTTCAACTTGGATTATGTTTAATGTCAAATTTATTCATGACATTTACTCTCTTTAACACAATGACAACACTCAAACAGTGCAAATTTGTTCATTTTCACAAATCTAAACTTAACCGCGCATGTGATGTCATAACGTGCTGGTGCTGCAGGCATCCTTGTCACTGGGTTGCTATACAAAAACAGTGCCTTTAAATTATATATATATATATATATATACACACATATATATATATATATATATATATATATATACACACACAT